AACAACACAAGAAACAACAACAACACCAACACCGCGTTAGAGAGAAGTTTGGAAGAAGACCGTACCTAAATTACACCGACAGTCAGAGAACGAACTAACACCGACAGTCAGAGAATGAACTAACACCGACAGTCAGAGAATGAACTAACACCGACGGTCAGAGAATGAACTAACACCGACAGTTAGAGAAAGAACTAACACCGACAGTCAGAGAATGAACTAACACCGACAGTCAGAGAATGAACTAACACCCACAGTCAGAGAATGAACTAACACCCACAGTCAGAGAATGAACTAACACCCACAGTCAGAGAATAAACTAACACCCACAGTCAGAGAATTAACTAACACCCACAGTCAGAGAATGAACTAACACCCACAGTCAGAGAATGAACTAACACCCACAGTCAGAGAATGAACTAACACCCACAGTCAGAGAATGAACTAACACCCACAGTCAGAGAATGAACTAACACCGACAGTCAGAGAATGAACTAACACCGACAGTAAGAGAATGAACTAACACCGACAGTCAGAGAATGAACTAACACCGACAGTCAGAGAATGAACTAACACCGACAGTCAGAGAATGAACTAACACCCACAGTCAGAGAATGAACTAACACCGACAGTCAGAGAATGAACTAACATCGCCATCTAATAACAATGGAGGTAGACCATATTGTATACGAGACCTTCTATAAGTAAGTTCATTTTACCCCACCAAGACATCACACAAATCGATAAACACCCGGTGACACAAAGTGCCACCATGCCGATGAGGATCACCTGCGGAGAGGTCCTGAAACCGCGTTTAACGATTAGGCTATATTGCGGTCCACGGCAACAGCCAGGGTGGGGCTTCAAATTAAAAAACAAATTTGCATCACTCAAGTGGGATGTCGAAGATTATAAGAGAGAGATTTTCTATTTAAAAAAAAAATAGTTTTGGCGAAAGAAAAAAGGACCAAGAATAACGGCAGACAGCGTAGCCGCATCTTGCAAAAATAAATCCATCACTGAAGACACTCCAGAAGCTTTAGACAATTACAGAAAACCACACCACTGGGCTACAATGAATGACAACAGTATGACGACAAAAAAAGTAGACGTACTGCATTATCGCGAAAAGTGAGTGTAATTACGTTGGTGGTCGACAAGTCTACCTAGTTTGTAGCCACCCACTTTTCCTGCCCGATCGGCAACTTAGTGACACATCTTCCTATGAACCCCAGACACAGGATGTTACTGTAAACAATAACAAAAAGTAAAATGTACCATCACAACCTTCATCCAAGAAGATCTTCTGCCTGCACGGGCCAGATCTCTATTTGTCGAGGACAGTTGTCTGGGGAAGCCTAGCCTTCACATGTTTCCCAAGATACATAAATCGGATAACCCAGGTAGACCGATCTGGGTTCCTTGTCCGTATTTTGCAGCCCCTGGATGTTGATCTCCCGCCTTACATCAAAGATACCAACAATGCTATCTCTATCTTTCAATCTATACGGTTCACCTCTTCTTCCAGGTACCACATTTTCACCTTAGATGTTACCTCCCTCTACACCCCTATTCCACATTCGGATGGCCTCCAGGCTTTGCGGTTCTTTCTAGATCAGAGAGTCAGTCCTGCCATAGCCGCTGACCTCCTGATTCGTCTGGTTGAGTTAGTGCTCACTCTAAACTCGTTCGAGTTTAATGGCCAGTATTTCAATCAGATCAGCGGCGTCGCTATGGGGACCAAGATGGGACCCAGCTATGCCTGCCTCTTCATAGGGCACCGGGAGCACCAGATACGTCATGCATATACCGGTAGCCCCCCCCCCCCCCCCCCCGAGCTCTACAGGAGGTATATTAATGATTGCATCGGTGTCACCGATATGCCCCTACAGGAACTGCAGAACTTCATTCATTTTTTCTCCAACTTTCATCCCAGCATCCGATGCACTTCTAGCATCTCACCTTCGTCGGTGCATTTTCTGGATCTCACTGTCACCGAGAACTCTATAGGCACCTCGGTGTACTACAAGCCTACTGATTCCCATGCTTTTCTTCTCTACACGTCCTCCCATCCCTCTTCTTGCAAGAACTCTATTCCGTTCTTCTAACTTCTACGCCTCCGCAGACTACGCCAGGAGAACGACAACTTTCACAACAAGGCCCTGGAAATGTTGGACTTCTTTCGGCTTCGAGGGTATTCTGAACATGTCCTATCTGCCGCCTTTCACCGCGCACGGTCTTTCCATCGTGCCGAGGCTCTCGTTTCCAAGCCGAAACGTCACAACAACAGACCTATCCTCACACTTACCTACCACCCTCACAACATCCGCGCCAAAAATATTTTCCTCAGGCATCTCTCCATCCTTAATGCCGACCCTGCCACGAGCACGATTTTCTCTGAATCTCCTCACAGTGGCCTACAGGCATGATCGTAACCCTAAGGACATTTTAGTCAAGAGTAGGTTACGCCCCGCACGGTCTCTTGCCTCAGACCTCTATGTAGAACATGTCCATATGTGGTCCAGGTGGCTAGTTTAGAATTCCCTAACGCTGCCTTTCACATACGTGAAGCACTCTATTGTACCAGTCACAATGTCATTTATGCCATCAACTGCAAGAGATGTGGCATGAAATACATCGGTGAAACAGGTCTACGGCTGGCCGACAGGTACAGACATCTTTTGGATGTGCAAAATGGTGCTCTGAAGCCAGTGCCGTTGCACTTCAGTTCCCAGGATCACCAAAGTGTCCTCGACGTGGAAGTGACAGCCATTAAATCCAGCCATTCCATCGACAGTGTCCGCAAGTCTCTTGAGAATCGCTTTATTTATACTCTGGGGACTTTAACACCATCAGGACTGAATTGATAACACAGTTTCATTTAAGATCCTAGGGGATTAAACTGCCCTCACAGTTTTATCTCCAACCCCTTAGTTATGGCCCCTGGTACTCCACAGGGGGCATTTATTCACCCAGCCCAGCCATAGATTTGGCCTAATGGCTGATCGCGGTTTCTGGGACCTCTTCACGGTGATCCTCATTCACGTGGTGGTAATAGGAATAAACTCACAGGGAGCAAGTACAGCAGGGATCTACCAGTCTTCAGTAGAAATTATCCTCGTCGACACGCGTTTCGGCCCACGATTCCTAGACGCATTCGGAGGTGGGCCCACCTGAGTTCATGAAGCTCAGGGCTGGTTCCCTGCTGCACGGAATTACCGGATGGTGTTATACTTTCGGCCAGAGACAAGACGACTTGGTGGTTTCGAAGGAGGTACTGTGAGATAAGAAGCCGCCGCGGCAGCGTAATTAAAACAGTCCGCATGCCTGGACGACCGAGCGACAAGCTTATTTTGGTTTACCGGACACATGTTGGACTTTTATTAGCAGTTGGCAGAGGGACACTGGCAGACAATTCGTACACGATGGACTTTCAAAGGGATGAGAAACTCCTTTCCGCTAGACACCCGGACCAGCTCACCGAGGCCCGTCCCCTACGTTGTTGCGCTGCGTCCAAAGCCAGCTAGAGGCCCTTTCGGCTGCCTCTCCCAGTTTTTTGAGTGTTCGTTTCCGTTCATTACCGCGCAATCCTAGTTCTTTCACCACATTGTAGAGCGAAGTGGAAACGAGGCCTCTCGCTCCCACTTCGACGGCAAAAACCCGTACTGTGTAAGCCTCGTTTCTCCTCAAACCGGCTGCTAAATCACTGTACTTCTCGAGCTTGTACAAATGATTCTCCTCCATACGCGACTCAAACGGGACCGTCAACTCAATCAGGATGAGCTGCCGTTTTTGCGCAGAATGGAGAACGATGTCCGGTCGCAGGCCGGTTTTACGGATCAACTCGGGATACCGTTCATGGCCTGGCAGATCAACCGCCAGTAACCAGTCCCTCGCAGAGTCTAGCACAGATGGAGCGAATGCGTTTTTGTTGACCTTACCAATTGGAACCTGCCCAGCCTTGAAGAAACGAATGGGGGCGATACTAGAACTGGCTCTGGCGTTAGCCCTCATTCTAGCCTGGTCGACAACGGCTGCTAACTCCTTTAGCACCTTGTTGTGGCGCCAGGTATATCGGCCTTGACCTAGAGCTTTCCTGCACGCGGACAGGACGTGCTCAAGTGTTTGCTTCGATTTGCACAACGGGCAAGTCGGATCGTTGGTACATTGTGTCATCGGGTGTTTATCGCATGTGTGATATCCTGGTGAGGTAGAAAGTCAGCCTTCTTAAAAAATGCTGTATAACTCTGGCCATCATGTCTCGTAATAAGTTCTTCGATACCAAAGGTATCGAGATGAGATGTCTTAGGAGAGCTGTCGATGTGACAAGAAGAGATAATATCAGGAACGACGACATTAGAATAAGACAAGGACTGAAACCAGTCATACAGTTCACTAAAGAACATGAGATGGTTTGGCCACCTAACGAGAATGCCCTGGTACTAACTGCCACAGAGAGCCACGCTGAAGAAATATAATGAACACAAAGCGAGGGGAAGATCACGCATTAATGGAGCGACAACATCAGGAACAACCTAACAGAAATGAACACCAGCTTGTACAATGCATTGAAAAAAGCGCACAAACGATCCTTACATTACCCCCCTCCCCCTTTTTCCCTGCCCCCTCTCCGCAAACTCCTCGCTGAGGTAAAGGGTGGAAGAGAAGAAGATACTAAAGGTTCTAGTATTTTCTCTCTCATGCTCTCCCGCTGATTCTCTTTCCCTCCAGCGTTCCCTTTGTCACTACATACCCAATTGCCCGACCCTTCCTATCCTACCTCAAACCCACACCCCCCCCCCCTTTCCACCCGCCCCACCGTGCCTGATCAAGTTTTAACTAAATTCAAATCTCAACCTACATTACCACTCAAGCGTTCTAATCGCTACGCTACAGTGATTCTCGTCGACTGTAATGATGCGGGCGGACAAAATCGTTCCATCTGTTACTAAATTATTTGGACTAATGGTGGTATTAACTAGTATGACGTGGAAACATTAATGGTTATAAATAAATGTTACACTTTGTGTCACTGTGCCATTCTGTGTAACAGGAGCCAAGTCACTGAGGTCTTCGTGAAAATGGTTTGGACATTTTTTTTTCTTTTACAATTGCTTATATATTTATATATTCTTTCTTCTTCTTTTCTTTACTCTGGATTGCCTCGCGGCGTCGAAGTAGGATAAAATCTCTAGAACGGGCCATTCTGTTCGCTTCACTTAGTGTACATTTCGGTGTGATATTTCTGGGGTCCATATTTTGCGTGGTCGACACCTGGCTCTGTTGCCGTTGTATCTGTATAACACTGCTCTATGTGGTGCCCTGTCTGATGCCAGTCTTGTTTCATTACCAAACCATTTGATTTTTTTTTTCTACCTATAAAGTTTAGTATTCATGCTCCTCTTTAATCATCCTTTCTAAGTCGATCTTTCCTCGTTACTCCTTGCATAGTAAGTAACCATTTCATTTCTGTCGTGACTATTTTCCTTCTGTCTTCTGGAGACAGCTTCAATGTTTGATATTGATAGCATAGCGCTGGTAAGAATATTGTGTTGAACAGTGTTCTTTTAGTGTTCATATTCTTCATACTTGCATTTCAAAATTGGTGCAATTTGGCCTAAAAATTGATTGGCTCTGCAGCGTCTTTGTTAGATTTCTTTATTAATTTTTCCGTCTCCTGAAACAAATGCTCCCTAGATATCTAAAATCCTTCGCCTACTTTAGCTGGTGTTCATCAATGTATATTTTTTGTGGCTCTTCCATTCCTGGATAATGTCATCACTTCTGTCTCGTTTCGGCACTTGCTGTGTTATGTGGTCAACGTCATGTCGGCCGGTTTTACTTCTCAGGAGCAAATCTGCCACTGACAATTGAGAACTACCAGAGACCTTCAAGGAAAATTAAATACACTCGAAAATAAATCCCTGATGCAACTGCTGAACATGAAATAGAAAGGCAAGGACATAAGAGACAAATCTGGACAAAATCTTGTACCCACAGTATAAGACAAAGAAGATAAGGCTGTATAGTCCGTTTATCTGTCCGTCAATCCGTCTCTGGTTGGCTGACCGCTTAGATAAAAGAAGAAAAAGGAAAAGAAGAAGAAGAAGGAGAAGAAGAAGAAGAAGAAGAAGAAGAAGAAGAAGAAGAAGAAGAAGAAGAAGAAGAAGAAGAAGAAGAAGAAGAAGAAGAAGAAGAAGAAGAAGAAGAAGAAGAAGAAGAAGAAGAAGAAGAAGAAGAAGAAGAAGAAGAAGAAGAAGAAGAAGAAGAAGAAGAAGAAGAAGAAGAAGAAGAAGAAGAAGAAGAAGAAGAAGAAGAAGAAGAAAAAGAAGAAGAAGAAGAAGAGAAGAAGAAGAAAAAGAAGAAGAAGAAGAAAAGCAAACAGAAGAGGATACATAGGAGCAATATTAAACGTCTTTATTAATACTAAGGTATTTAAATTCAAAACCTTTAGCAACATTCTGATGTGAGTAGTGGAAAATAAGACGAAAATTTAAACGTTTGAACTGAAATACTATAGAAAGATACTTAGAATATCACGGAATATAAAGAAGAGGAGTACTGACATCTTAACAGATATGAACAGCAAGAAAAATTGGCTAGTAAATAGCGTCGTGTCTGGAAAACTTAAATATTTGGCCGTATCAAGCGCCACTGTGGATTGCTAAGAACAGTGGCAGAAGTCATGGTGCTAGGAAAAAGGGACAGAGGCCGACCAGCATAAAGATGGTCACATAATATAAGAGACACCTTGGGTAGAAAAAGGCATGAGGCCAGAGAGCTGGCGAGAGACACGAGTTTGTTTCAGGCAGGCTGTAATGTGAGAGACATTCTGCAAAGGACTGGCCGCACACTAATATGCAGGAATGTCGAGAAAGGAATAAGGAAAAAAAAAACGAAGCTGGGGAAGATACAGAATAAAGAAGAGAACTCCCCTTCCCGCACCCCTCACCAAGTCAGAGTGAGTGAACTTAAACAAATGAATTAATCAGGGACTGTATGTCGTGTGGCTTAGTATTTAATATGTTTAGTTACCAGATGTGTAAGTAAACAATAAACACATACCTCGTACGTACTTCTATTTCTGCACGTTCAATGGCTGTAAACTTCGGCGAAAGGTTTGAACAAGCATATAGAAGGCGACTAATTATAGATGTTTCCTTCGAAGTATTGTTGCGTCTGCCTAAGAGACGTGGAACTAACAGTCTCCACACAAATAAGCCGGATCTGTAAAACTCAATTTCTGGATTGAAACCACAATCCAGAAGGGGATGAACATCCAGAACTGGAGTTTATAATCGGCGAACATTAGGAAGAAGAAGAAGAAGAAGAAGAAGAAGAAGAAGAAGAAGAAGAAGAAGAAGAAGAAGAAGAAGAAGAAGAAGAAGAAGAAGAAGAAGAAGAACTTAAACTATATGCCCGAAATTGTTCTTGGAAGTAAAGGTGTGAGTTAACCATGTTACCCCTCCAGTGCTCATTGGCTTATATAAATATTGGTCTAGAAACATATCCTCCGTGGGCCAGTAACGAGAAAGAGAACTTGTATCCCCTGTCCCTTTTTTCCCCATAGTGTTCTGAACTAATGTATGCATATTTTTTTTTACTTCATTTAGATGAAGCTTGGTCTCATTCTCGTGATAGGATTACCGTATGGTATGTGTTTGCTTTTGTTGTTGCTGCTGTTTCGTCAGACCTGCTTTGCTTTGTCACTAAGTTATTAACATAGTGGTAGTTTATGTGATTAGTTACACGAATATTCTTCGTTTTGAACGTATTAGTGTTTTTTTTTTTTTTTTAAGTAAACATATTTTAAGTAAAGATATTCCCACATGAAAGACATGAGTGATGCAGACCTGTTTGAGATGACTGCTTGCTTCAACCAGAGCATTAGGACATCTTCAGTCCCAGAAGAGTGGATGCACAACTAACTGATTGCACTTCCTAAGCCTAGTAAGAGCCCGGCTCGCTAGCGTAGCTGGCTAAACCTGACTTTGCGACGACCGGGGGACGAACTCCTTGTGGTCCGGGTTCACGCCCGGGGGTAGGCAGAAAAGCCACATTTCTTCCAGATTTACGGTATCTATCGTGGAATCAAGCTGAATGGTTGCTATATCCATAGTATCGAGCCAAAGGATTAAGAACTCATGGTTTCTGGGTATTTAAAAAAAGCCTGGCAAGAAGCATTCAACACTCGGGGGCCATGTACTATTCAATGTTTTTACGAGCCTGCCTGGAAACAAGTGGAGTTGGCAGAGTATGGACATTTGCAGATGATGTTCTTGTATATAGGAGGGGGGAGAGATCGGAATCAAATAGCTAAAGAGTTACAGGCAACAGCAGATAATGTGATTGACTGGTGTACAGAGATGAGTGCGGTAATCAAGAAAAGGCAACCGTCCTGTGATGTTTTTTGGACAACTTGATTGTTAGAGCTGTTGTTCGCAGACTCAAAATAAATGGCAGTGGCATCAAAAGAGACAGCAGACTGCGGTACCTGGGAATCACCTTTGACAGAAGTTTGTCTTTCAGGGATCGCATAGAGTGTGTTGTGACAAGGGCTTAAAAAAGTCTAAACACACTAAAGATTATGGCAGAAATGGACATGGAGCAGAGAGTGCTGTTCACACTTTACCTGCACTTAATCATCTCAGTGATTGATTATGGAAGGAGGTTACTCGTTGTCTCGAAGAGTCAGCTTGAGATAGTGGAGTGCATACAGAATGAAACTATGTGGCTGATCCTGTGTTGTACTAGAGACACCCCGATCGTGTGCATGCGAAACATCCTTGCATTGCCGACTATTGCAGATAGGCTAAAGGTGCTGCAGGCTAAGTCATACCTCATGGTAGCAGCAGACAGGGAACACCGTCTGTGTGAAGTTTTGGCTGCAGGCAAGGGTCAGAGGTTGAAAGGGGGAAAATCGTAGATGGCTCAAGCAGAAGACACAATAAGACAATTGTGCATGATGGAGAAGATTGGGCGAGGAGAGGAGTGGGTCAGAGTACCAGCGGGAAAGTCTGACCTGTGTAGGGTTATGATAACATTGGGTCGGGTGTACAGAGAGTGGCCAGCGGGTGCTACGGAGTTTGAAGTCCAACAGTGGATTCGCGACAATTCAAACTCAAGTGATCTGATTATCTATTCAGACGGTTCGGTGTTGAGAGGAAAGAGAAGGCCTGGGGGCGAAAGCCAATGGAAAATCTTTAGTGCAAGACAGCCTAGAAGATGACACCACAACATCTAGCATGAAAATGGAGGTTAAGGAGGTAACTGCAGCTCTCCTATGGCTAGAGAACAAGATGCATACACATGTCATAATTGTAACAGATTCTGAAAGCATGCTGAAAAAGGTGAAGACAGGGAGACTTCGAGAAGAGTGGCTAGCTTCACTGGAAAGTTCACGGGTGGTGAGCATACTTTGGATCTTCTCTCCAGGCCATGCCGGCGTGGTGGGTAATGAACAGGCAGACAGACTGGCTGGATCCGCACCACTGGGTGGTGAATTGATACATGCCAAGGCAGATGTGGTCAAGGCCCTTTGGGAAGAAGCAACGGAATCAGTAGAGAAAAAAAGATTATTATGGCCTTGTGAGAATGAGGCACCTGGGTGTAACCAGAGGGTCTGGCCGGCTGACTACATTCAGAGGAAAGGCAAGACGGACTTTTAACCAGATTGTGACCGGTACCATCAGTATTGGAACTCTGCGCTGGATGCTGAAGATAAGGACAGAGCATGCATGGGAATGCACCCGAGTGCTGTGATGTCAATTCTTGACTCAGCTCAACTCAACATATATTCATAGATACCTACCTACCTACCTATTATATATATATATATATATATATATATATATATATATATATATATATATATATATATATATATATATATATATATATATATATATATATACGTTAGTTGCTAATCCTGTACAGAATGTAACAGAACCAGCCCCATAATTTTGTTGTTGTTTTTTATGTTTATGGCTTTACTAGACAAAAAATTGTTTGCCATTGCTTATTGTAAGGTCGGCTCTCGATACATACTACTGTGTGCGCTCTGTCTAACGCTTTGCATAAGCTGATCCTCATTTCTTTGAGACTCTTCTTGATGCCGTCGTTCCATATTTACGTGGTCTTCCTCTTGATATGTGTGCACTTTATTTCTATAGTGTAGCTCTCTTTGCCACTCAGTATAGGGCATTCTGGTCAGATAACCCAACCATCTCATCGGTTGCTCTTTAATTAATTAACTATATAACAGGTTTCCCGCTTATAACTGAGCGTTTATAAATATCAACAGGATTTACTGGTGTTATACATTTGTATTCTTCGGCAAATTTGTGAACAGACAATCGAATATAATAAACACCAGAATCTTATATTCATTGATCAAGAGAAGGCTTTTGACAGGGTTAACAGAAATAAACTATGGAAGATTCTTGAAGAATATCGTGTACCGGGTCAATTATTGGGAAACATAATGGCTCTCTATCAAAATAGCCAGAGCGCTATAAGAACAACGGAAGGTATGACAGACTGGTTCCCCATTACATCAGGAGTACGAAAAGGATGTGTCCTATCACCCCTACTCTTCATCACATATATGGATACAATTGCACAGGAGTCAAACCAAAACACAGATATTATAAATGAACTACTCTTTGCAGATGACCAATGTTTGTTACAAGAAGAAGAACAAAAACTACAACAACATGTTGATTCATTGCTCACTAACTGTACAAAATTTGACATGAAAATAAACACCTCAAAATCTGAAGTAATGACAATAGGAAAGAAACACAGTAATGTAAACATAAAGATCAATGACATACAATTAGAACAAGTTCAAGAATTCAAGTACTTAGGATGCATATTTACAGAAGATGGAAGACTCGATAAAGAGATACAGGCTAGAGTTCAAAAAGCCAATGCAGTCAACTACCAACTGGCCCCCCTTCTTCGTCATCCAAAGATCTCGTTACCAGCCAAACAACGGATGATCAACAGTATTTTCATCCCTACGTTATGTTATCAGTGCCAAACGTGGACAATGAACAAATCACATATGCAAAAAATAACTACGTGTGAAATGCGATGTCTCCGAAGAGTTACCAACAATACACGAAGAGACAGAGTTACAAACGTCAGCATTAGAGACAACGTTGGAACAAGAGCATGCATGGAACATATTGAAAGACAGAGAATGAAGTGGTTTGGCCATTTAGTAAGAATGCAACCGGATCAGATTGCCTATAAGGCCTTTTACAGCTGAACATCGGTAAGAAAGGCCACAGGAAGACCCAGGAAAAAAATGGATAGATGGAGTAGCTGAATACGACCAGAAGATCCAGAAAACTGTCACTCAAATCACGCGAGAGGCATAAAACAAATATTTTAAACCACGACACTGGGCTGCAACCTGGTAAAAGTGAAGAAGACAATAGATAGATAGATAGATAGATAGATAGATAGATAGATAGATAGATAGATACATTTGTATAATTGAGCATTTGTAATTTCTGACTGCAAGCACAATCAATGTGTTGCACATATTATTGCTCGTTATATTTTGATGCATCTCGTTTGGTGCAACAATGTAGAGCTATAAATACATTACGATGTAAACAACTTGAATCTATCATCGTCATCATGTAGCAGGCCCTTTCCAGGACGTCGCTCTTATCCCGGTCTCGCCAGCTCTCCCGTCTCATGTACTTTCATACTCAAGGAGTCACTTATATCCCGTGCCCATCTTCGTGTCGGTCGGCCCCTGCCCCTCCTTCCTGGTACCATGCCTTCTGCTATAATTTTTTCCAATCTGTCGTGGCGCTTTAAATGACCAAATTATTTCAGCTTCCGAGACAGGATGCTGTTTATTAGCCAATCTTCCTTGATGTTCAGATCTTTCAAGATGTCAGTATTTCACCTTTTCTTTTTCCAAGATATTCTGAGAATCGTTCTATAGCATTTCAGCTTAAAAGCCCCTATTCTCTTTCTTAAGGACTGAGAGATAGTCCACGACTCGCATCCGTATGTAGCCACATGGAAGATGTATGCTCTCAAAATTATAATTTTAATCTCCTTGCTGGTACTTAACGACATAATTTTGTTGTTGTTGTTGTTGTGACAGTCAGTTTTATCTGTGGACGTTATTCTAACTTGTATCCAGTCATCTGAAATACCCAGATCGCATTGTCGCCTGTAGCAATGTAGAGCTCACCTACGGAAGTCTAAGAGTAATCATATAAACACCACGAAAGTCCACGATTTGTGACATGATCCCTTTGTTTGCATAAAATAGAATTGCCAGTTTAAATTACCATGACTTCTAAAAATTTTCAGTGTTCAGTATTTGTGATGAAGGATGGACGCAGTTCAACGACTATTGTTTGGCCTTTAGCCCAGACCTTTTAGACTGGTACACAGCCGCGGTAAGTATCAATTTGTTTCTTACAAAGTCTTCCTGATGCCTTTAGTAGTTAAATCCCCTCTGTGTTGAAATCAACAAAAAACGGTCATCATCATCATCATTATCATCCCCCTCATCATAATCATCATCCCCATCCTCATCATCATCCTGCTGGTCCATTTTAGGTCACGTATTTTTCCCAAAAATTGTGTCATTAAATGACATACGCTGTAAGAGAAAGGCATACAGGCGATTTGTATCAGCAGACTCAACAGAAAGCATAATACAACAATTGTAAATCAACGAACAAACAGGACACTGCAGGCTTTACTACCACCTGCATGAAGTAAAGAATGTAAAGTTCCCACAGTGTGCCTGTCAGACAGGACAACACATACCTGAGCACATTCTGCAGACCTGCCCAGTCTAGATACAACTGCAAAAAAAAAAAAAAAAAAAAAAATAACTTGGCATGAAGAGCAAAATGGGCAGAGCAAGCAATAAGGAACCTTGAAGGACCTGCAGTTCTCATGAGAGTTCATAGAGGCAACCCACCTGATAGTCTGACCTGAGCATACGAAGCCGAACGCAAAGAAGAAGTTTCAACATAGCATTGATATATATATATATATATATATATATATATATATATATATATATATATATATAATATATATATATATATATATATATATATATATATATATATATATATATATACACACCACACACACATAAATATATACATACACACACATATAAAAACATACATACATACAAACATAATACATACATAAATACTCACGCACGCACGTACGTACGTACGTACGTACGTACGTACAGACAGACAGACAGACAGACAGACAGACAGACAGACAGACAGACAGACAGACAGACAGACAGACAGACAGACAGACAGACAGACAGACAGACAGACAGACAGACAGACAGACAGACAGACAGACAGACAGACAGACAGACAGACAGACAGACAGACACATAGAAAGCATGGTTCGACTAAAAGTGAACACAGCCTGAACGAGTTTTTAAGAAAAAAAAAACGTGAAAAGACTGGCACCATCTGAATGGAAACTCTTTGCTGGCTCTGGATGGAAAGGGAAAACTCATCTCTGGTAGCCTTCCGAGTGCAATACTGTCAGTTTAATTAATTTATTAATTGTGTGCCACTTGGTGGTACATTGATGTATAACAAACTGGATGTCAACGAGGCAATTTTAGAGCCAATGAACAAGGCGGTTGTGCAGATTTCCTCGGTGTGAAGAGAATGATGCAGTGTGGAGTGATCTTGGCTACCGACCGACATTAAACTCTTAGAGGACAGACAAGACAGACATACACATAGACCGCTACTGAAACCATCGGAATTAATTCTGCGCTGGCTGCTGAAGATAGGGTCGGAGCGCTTATGGGAATGTGCTTAATCAGCTTTTTAAAACATTTCATTCTTTTAATTTTTTATTCATTCATTCATGTATTCATTCATTCATGTATACATTCAATCAACAGAGCATGTGCCTGCTTTATGATGCTAGGCTTGTACAGATTGACAGTCAAGCCAAACAAAACTGGATAGTCGACCATCTTAAAGCACGAAAAAGTAGGTTTTGTTGGTAGGAGTAGAAGATGTGGTAGTAGTTGTAGTAGCAGCAGCAACAACAACAACAACAGTACTATATGTAAAAGTAGTAGTAGTTAAAAGTTAGTTGCGGAGCCTTTATAGGACGTTGCAGAACCAACCCCAGCATTTCTTGGTTGATATGGTTTTTCTAGACAAAATTACGTCCAGTAGAGTGCCAGTGCTTTCTGGACTGTCGGTTTTTCTATACCACTGTCGAAACCATCGCAAGGAGCAAGGCCTGCAGCTGGGATCGAACCAGGTACCCCGGCATTACGAAGCTCGTTCGCAACGCCTAAGCCACAGACGCCGACAGTAGTAGTAGTTACTGCACACCCAATACTCCGTTTAACCTTCAGGGTTAAAACTGGGATATATTGCCATGCGAGAGGCATATCGCGAAGAAGATCGCGACAACAAGCAGGAATCAGTACCTTGTCCATGTAGGTGACTTTGGGAGTGAAACCTAGAGCAGATAAATTTGATCATTTCACCAAGGGCACAAGATGTCTGATTTATTAACAACGAAGGGTCGTGATCATTCGCTTTACATTTGCAGTGGGAAAAGCTAGATCTGTAAAAGGGATGTGCCACACAACACTCAGCCTTAGAACAAGACTGAAGTCCCGAAGTAAAGGAAAAACCAAAACTTTCTGTCGGAGTTTACAAGATGATGATGATGTTCAGTGTATTCCGCAATATGTGGCGACTGATAATACCTTACAATCGGATCATAAATCATACAGTGACACGGTTTACTTAACTTTGTGTGCTTCGTTCAAATATTATATTAACCAAGTCTGTCTCAGTCGTTATGACGGTAAGTCTTTGCTGTATAATGGTTTAAATATCGCCCAATGCTCATGATCCAACGATAATTAGTTTCAAGATGGAAGTTGTTTTTTTTTTAAAATAAAACATGTTAAAGGGCCACCTATCTCGGAATGAAAGAGTTTAATGCTATGTTTTCTTCAGTCACTTCCGCTTGGGCCGGCGGCTCTAACAGATATCATAATTCCATATGGAAATGGATTCCAAGCTTGAAACCACTGAAGAACTTCGAATACTGGACCCCAAAAGAGCCTAACAATGCTCCGGGTGAGAACCCGACAAACCGTGAGTATTACCACTGTGACCTGTCATGTTCTTTTAACTCGTTTTGTACCCAGTTAAAGTTAGAATACATAGTTCTTAGTTTTCCATAAAATTCATGACAAGTGTAATGTGGTAAAGACTTTTTGGGAGCGATTGTCAGAGTCAAAATCGTGAGTATCTTCTTGATGTTATTCTCTGTCTTGTTGTGCCGTTGTATGTCACATAGAGATCCCAGTCTAGTCGTCCATTCCGTGTTCTCCATCCTGTGCCAATCAATTCAATATCTTAAATGGAATCCAGCACAGCACCCCTGGCCTCACTCACTGCAATGAGTATTAGCATACATGGATCTGTCTCTCTCTGCAGAACAGCTAGCCGTATGCCAAAGGCAGGCCCACAAAACACGCATCCCATAACTCCAGAAACGATCTTCAGGGATCTCCGTAAAACTCGTGAATTGGACGACGCTGTCGTGAATTGAATTTCGCGGAAGTACAAGCAAATCATTATGGTCTGAAAATAATAGTGCAGCAGGAAGTGATCCGGTGATCTGGCCAACACTCAACGTTCAAGTGAAAAACAAAAGGGACATACAGACTGCTACTGCTACCAGAATTGGAACTCTCTCTGCTGACTGCTGGAGACGGGAAGAAACGCTTATGGGAATGCTCCGGGTGCTGTGATGTCGGTTGTCAACTCTTTCAGTCCCAGAAGATCAAAGATGATACGCGGGTGAATACATTACTGCGCTCAGTAAATTCATATGTTCTCAACATATACATAGACCGAAAATGCAGCACATTGTAGGAGATATACTGTGTTGTTGGGATGTATCTTGGCGTAATGTAACACGTATATAGTTAAGCATGCTGATTGTTGTACAGCAGCAATGTACAGTCTTACATAGTGCATTGTTTGGTACTCAACTCTATTTAAACAATATAATACCTGTTTAAACCAGCAAGCGCATGGCAAGTTGCTCCACATTGACAGAACAAAGCATTTGTATTTGTTACACGATAAGATAGCGGCAGCTCATTCCCCTTCTTCTGGCCTTTCATACTGAGAAGACAATTTGACAAGCATTTCAGGTGATATATCCAAGTCTCTAATTCAGGCATTTCAGGTAATATATCTAAGACTCTAATTCCGGAAAAGTACTGATATTTTTTTCTTTTTTTTTCTTTTCAAGAATCCGCAATTTTTGTAACGGCATTTATTTTACTTTTCTATAATGATACCTTGATTCTGTTAAGGCATTTAGTTGACTTTCGAAAGGGGACCATAATTCTGAATGAAGAATTATGTTTTATTTAGTAACTATGAGTTTAATTTAGGTTAGCTGCAGTCCCCACCCCTCCCGCCATAATTTATATATAAATATATATATATATATATATATATATATATATATATATATATATATATATCGAGAGAGGGGGAGAAAGATAGGGAGAGAGAAAGAGGGGGAGAGATAGAGGGAGAAAGAGGGGGAGGTAGAGAGAGAGGGCGAGAGAGGGGGAGAGAGGGAGAGAGAGAGGGGGAGAGAGGGGAGAGAGAGAGGGGGGAGAGAGAGAGAGGAGAGGGGGGACAGAGAAGCTCCAGGATCATGGCTGATACTAGTGTCTAAGCCAGTTTACACCTTTTTGTGATCGTCGCAAGACCCTGCATATGTTGGCTGTTGTGGTTTTACTGACAATTTTGCACTGATTGTCGTTTGCTTTCTCAACTGCTATACATTCACACCTTGTCAAAATCAGCCTTAGCCAGTTCTAATAAACACATCTTCAGTGTGCAATAAATAACTGGGAAGGTACTGTCTCTAATAATTACAAGCCTTGAGTCCAGCAAGTAATGTCCAATGGAGGAATTAGAGAACATTATTTACTCTTAGTTGATTTGGGTGACTTATACAATCTGATATGTGTTTCCATTCTGTAATGCGGCTGCATTGAATTAAAGAAACATTTTTAAGTCTCTACGATTTCTTTCTTTCAGTCTCTACAATTTCTTTCATTCAGTCTCTACAATTTCTTTCTTTCTTTCTTTCTTTCTTTCTTTCTTTCTTTCTTTCTTTCTTTCTTTCTTTCTTTCTTTCTTTCTTTCTTTCTTTCTTTCTTTCTTTCTTTCTTTCTTTCTTTCTTTCTTTCTTTCTTTCTTTCTTTCTTTCTTTCTTTCTTTCTTTCTTTCTTTCTTTCTTTCTTTCTTTCTTTCTTTTTTTTTCAAATGACAATAAGTAACGCATTTGACTTGCAGCTGTAAATGCCGAACAGTGTCTGGAAATCGGGGGACCCCAAAACTACCACTGGAACGACAGATGGTGTGGAATCAAACATAATTTTATTTGCGAGAAAAAGTAGGTAGAGCTTATTTGTAAACATATTTTATTTATCAAATGTATTCTAGATTGGAAATGTAGAGAACATTTTGTAGTTTTGGTTAATCTAACAGCCAATTTTCACAGCAGTGCATATAAAACCATAAATGCCCCACCCCCACATTCAGTATCCGGCGAAGAGTTCCAGTATTAATGAAGCAAGTTGTAGGCGGTCTTGTCTTTTTTCTGAGCACTGAAGGTCTCCCCGTCGCACCATTCTCAATACGCAGTGAACTAACATAACAACAAGAATTGTCTGCCAGAGTTCACAGCCGGTGACCGGCTTGTTCCGGTTGTCTTCAACCAATGGGTCATGAAGTGTATATTGGGTTCTAGGAAGCTTCCGTGTTCCCCCTAAATTAAAAAAAAAATTAAACCAGGTCTTACACAATTGTTTTTGTTTTTAAAAAAGTGCAGTAGCCCCCCCCCCCCCCCCCCCCCCCCCCCCACACACACACACACAAACACACTTCTTTTCAGTTACAAAATCTTTTTTTTTTTTTTACAAGATTCTACATTTATTCAAATACGCACATGCTATCACATCGCAATAACTCTTCAAAACATGATAGCTGGTCATCAACAATTTAGATTTAATCATAGTAATTGTGTGTCAGTCTTCTGTGTAATCATGGTGATATTTAGTCACTTTTCTATACATGATGTTGATGTATCTATGATAAATATTTAGACATGATGATAATGACTTATTGGTAAATATTTCAGACCTAATGAAAATAATTTTAATTAGTCGTTTAAACATAAGGATAATCGTTCGAATAACATTCAAGATATAATGATGATGATGATGGTTGATCTGTCGTCTATACATAATAACGGTTAATTAATTGACCTACGTCTGACGGAAAACTGGACAGAGAAATTAGCTCCAGATGTGCCAAAGCTAATCAAGTAATGGGTCCACAATCTCCCCTGTTGACACACAAGCAGATACCTCGGAGTACTAAAGTGAATCTTTTCAGAACTATTTTTGGCCAACACTATGCTATCATTGCCAAACGTGGACACTTACATCCTCCAATGAACGTACAATTGTGACAACAGAGATGAAATGCCTTAGAAGAGCTGCAGGAGTTTCAAGGAAAGACAGAATACGAAATCATGAAATCAGACGAAAGCTAGGAATAAAGCCTGTCTTACAGGTCATCAAAGAACAACAAATGAAGTTTTTTGGACATCTAACAAGAATGCCCTGGTACTATCTGCCACAGAGAGCCACACTAAAACGTTACAACGGGTATAGAGCGACTGGATAAATATATGAGTGATGGCATTAAGAACAGCCTTACAGAAATGAACATCAGTCTTAATGGTGCTTTTGATAGAGCTCATCAACGAACATTGCATCTCCCCCCGACTCTTCGATGAGGTACAACGTGGAAGAGAAGAAGAAGAAGAATTAATTGACTAGATGTAATGACCATGATGGTAAAAAAAATCTTTTAGACATCATGATGATATTTATTGATTGATATCCTAAACATAATAACGATAATTCTTTACGATAATTATTTATCATTTTTCTAGATATAATGATGATCTTTGATCGAAATTCTGCACATAGTTTTGACTCTCGTTAATCAGTCCTGCATAATTATGATTTATATTCTAGACATAATGATAATGCTATTTATCCGAATTCATTCTTCCAATTATAATCATTGTTGATACATCTTTTAAACATAATGATGATCATTGTTCAGTCTTCTAGATGATAAGAACAACTAATTTTTTATTTATAATACATCTTCAAAAGTGACCTTGGCCTCCAGGTTTACCCAGCCTTGAGTGTGAACCAGGTTAAGTTTTGGGAAGTAAAGGCTGCTGGCGTGATGTTGACCACATTCACCTACCAAGAGCCGATTGGTCAATAAAAATAGGTCTAGCACTAAATGCACATCGCGCATTAAGGTGCGGGAAAGGATATTTCACTTTACTTTTGTGCTTTCATTGATAATCTGTGTTCTATCTTCCAGGGCGAAATGATCAATACACGACTGACAAATAAAATCCGTGATTGCGTCTGACAGGAACGCCATCAAAGCATGACGTTAACGTGTAACACATCTGGAGTTTATTACCTATAAAATAAACTTCTTTCTTCGACGGTTCAATTATTGTTGTCTTTTCTTCTTTGTCAAAATATGTGTTTGGATAATATGAGGATGTTTTCATTAAAAATATGAGTCTTAGTAATGTGAGGATGTTCTGATAATGTTTGTCACTCAATGGGCAGTCACCCAACTTCACCACCGGAGCTGAATGGTTAGTTGCGTATCCTTTACAGGACGTTGCAGAATCAACCCCAGTAGTTTTTCTAGGCAAATTTACGTCCAGTAGTTTGCCATTATTTGGACGGTCTGCTTTCTTGATACCACTGTCGAAACCAAAGCAAGGCGCGTAGCCAGCAGCTGGGATCGAACCCGGCATCCCAGCCTTACGAAGCGTTCGCATCGACTTAGCCACAGAGCCGACAGAGCTGAATGAGAAACGATTATATCAGACAGATCATGAGAGCAGCACCGTTGCGTTGAATTTAGCTGAGCCAAGAATTAACATCACAACAATTGGGACATTCCCATAAGTGCGCCGTACATATCTTCATCTGCCACCAAAAAGTTCCAGTGTTGATTGTACCAGTAGCAGTCTGATTATAGTCCGTCTCCCCTTTTATCTATATGTAGAGTATCGGCCAGATCCCCCGTTAACTCCATCTGCACCATTCTCTCTCTCTCCCCCCCCCCCCCCCCCCCAACCACCGTAATGATCTATTCGCATATCTACATTTTTCGCCTGCTTGCAAGGGACCTTGACCACATCTTGCTTCACCAATAATTGGTGTATTATCAGCCCCTATGTCTGCCTATTTATGGAAACAACACTTTGTACCTGATACAATAAGAAATAGATCACACGGTTGATCATCTTGCTACAGTAGTCAGAGAACGGTTTGTGGTACAGTAGCTAGGCGTTTGCCTGAAGGAGATGGATTTATTTCGAACCACAACTATTTGTTTTTTAATAACCCTCTCGGGTTATTTATACGATGGTCTCCCCATTTACACACTACCTCCAATGATAAGTTGGTTGGACAAGTCTACGGTGCTCGATGTTATGGGTGTCGCAGTCTGTTGCTGCCTTGCATTTACTTTTTTTTTTATTTCCGAGAAAGAGATATCGGTTTTGTCACTCTCTAGGGGTTTGTGTTTTAGACCCAGTATTTAAATGGTTTAGAGATGTTAAAAACTCTGGCATGGTGAAATATACAAGATGCGGTGAAAGTCAGATCGCTCGAGGCCAACCTGTCAGAAGTGTGGTATGTAGGTTGTCCAATCAGAACCGAGCTAGTGTATAGCGGTGTGTAAATGGGAAGACCAGAGTACAATTTACCCAATCTTGCCCTCCAAACCGATTCCTGCCTCAATATCCTGCGTCGGTCCCACAGAAGTGATACGTCAATAACGCATATTATTTTAGGGCGTGGCTACTATACAAATTTTGTTAAACAGTAGCCACCAATGAAGTAGAAATTATCCCAATGTAGGTAACCTGGTGTCTTGGTCGAGGATCGGGATCAAGGGTCCGATAAGGCTCGGGGGCGGTGGAGCAGGCCGAACAAAGGATCCAAGAGTTTTTAGTTGTGACCGTTTTATGGGTTAAATAGTAAAATAAAGAAAACTAGGGGTGCTGATTGTCTTGATGGTGGGAATATAAAGTACTTACGTTATAAAGTTGATAAAATATAAAAATTATTTTTTAAAAAGCAATATGATACTAGACTTGTATAAGTAATATAGTAGAATAGAGGTGCATAGACATACTTTGTTAAGGGAGATACAAAGTATATATGTTGTGGAGTAATTTATGTAAAACTAATTATAGAGGCAGGTGTCAGCTCGGGGTTGGTCAAACAGCATAAGGGGTATCATCAAGTGCCGAGTCGATAGGCTAGGATGATAATGTCTCTTCAGAGTTTGTTGTTAGCTAATGCGCTGTGGTAATGGTAGCAAACAATTAGGCTGCGATATGCGGTCATCGACAAGCATGCCATACGGAGGTAGGGGTCACCAGGAACTCCTGAGTATATGGTGCCATGACTTTACATAGAGTAAACGAAGATTATGGCAAAATGGCAGGTGTCGTGTCATATTGTTAGGTGCCGGGGCTTAGTGGAGGCGTCAAGTTATCATGTCAGCTAGTTACATGATGGATTTCAGATATCATCTGGGCCTCCGGGACACATGGAACTATGATGTTATGCAGGAGTAAAAATAAAAAATTATGGCAAAGGAGCAGGTGTCATATCACAGTGTTAGGTGCTAGTGATCAGTAAGGTGGTCAAGTTGTCGTGTCAGTGACTTATATGGAAAGGTTTTATCAGTCATTGGAAGGTCACCGCGTATGGTGCTATGACTTTAAAGATAGGAAAAAGAAAAATTATGACAAAGAGAGGATGGCATCACGCAGTAATAGGTGCCAGCGGCTCAGCGAGGGAGTCAAGTTGTCGTGTCAGCTAGTTACGTGATGGTTTTAATGGTCATTGGAGGTAACTACAAAAGAGTTAGTGTCGTGTTGCATTGTTAGGTGCCCATGGATCGCTGTGGAGATCAGGGTGTCATGTCGACTAGTTAAGTGAGCAGTTTTTAGTGATCATTGATGTTGCCCTCCCCCCCCCCCTTTCTTCTCTCTCTTTCTCTCTACACCGCCGATAATTCCAAGGAAAGGACAAGTGCCAAACAAATTGGTACCGAGCCGTTGCAGAAATGACCAAAGAAGCAGTGTAAAAACTGTTGGGCCGCCTTAAGGATTCCAGATCTAAATTTAACATGAGATGTACAACACTTGTTTCTTGACATGACACAGATAAAGTCAGCAAAGAACACCAGTTATGAAGAGTTGTATTTTTATTTATTAAAACATTGGAACATCTGCAATGATTAGTCAACCAAAGTACAGAAACCAGATAATGAAAATAAGGTTAACATGTTTTTTTTTTTTTTTTTTTTTTTTTTTTTTTTTTTTTTTTTTTTTTTTTTTTTTTTTTTTTTGCTTTTATATGAGTTTTGACTCCATTGCTCCAGGTTTGTTTCATTTTCCCCGTATTTTTACAATGCAGAATGGCTAGCCGTTTGCTCAGAATGTCACACACCGCGCTTGTGCGAATCTGTCAAGAAATCTCCATAAACTGAGTGACATAGTAAGGGATGCTAACTCACGACCCTTCAGATTCCAAGACAAACGGCCTTACCACTTCACCACAAAACCTCCATATATAGGTATAAATATAAGCACAGGTACAAATAAAGTTAAATGAGATATTATCAACAAATATATAACATAACTGTGTGCAAGGATACCAGCAAAAAGTATCCTTTGCAGTGAGGTAAAATATATTAAAGTTTTAGTTAGAACGTGTGTTGATATATATATATATATATACATATAAGAGTAAAGCAAATGTCTCTTTTCAACCCCTTAAGGCGTATGGGGCATATAGTGATAGACCTATATTTTTATAGACCAATCGGCACAAGACGGGTGACGTGGTCAGCAGCAGCCCGCTGCCTTTACTTTCCGGGACCGCACCCGGTACCCACTCAAGGCTGGATCAACTTGGAAGTCAGGGTCATTTTTTTTTAAAGTAATATATCTATATATATGTTTGTGTGTGATTCTGTGTAAAACATAAGAAAATAAGAGACACAAAAAATATTGACAACGTAAAAGTTTATCTTGAAAAGAATGCAACGAATATTATGAACTGATTGATAAAACAAATAAGGCGTCCTTTTTGAGACAAATAAACATTAATTTGTGAAATCAGACCCAAACAGTAAAATATTTTTTGGGGGGAAATGTTAAAAGAAGGAGTGTACTTGAGAATTGTCTGGCAAATGACACGACTGATCAAAAATACCAAATGGAAAACATTAGAAAAGACTACCTTGATAGCTTGGCCAACATAGACGGGGGCTATATATGTGATCTGAGAGACAAGACCTGATTATAGAAATATCAGTTAGTGGGGCAAAATGTAAACAATATGCAATATGCTGTCAATAAAGATCTGAATCCTGAAAAAGAAGAAAGATGGAAATAATTGTAACAGTATATTGAGAACAAAAAGTTTTCATTTAAAAAGAAAATTTAAAAAAAAAAAAAATCGTAATTACACAGACAAGTTTTTCGAAATGCAGTAACAGTGGAAGATGCATAGAAGAAGCTAACTGCCGAACAACTCAAGCAAAGGCAAGATTTCTTAGGATGAGGTATATTCAATTCATCTCTCTGTCGAATGAGCTGGGAATTAGAGTTCTAATGCACTATATAAAGTGAGCCCTGTGGTTTTATATACGAATGATGAAAATACTAAGGACATGTTAAAGTATAATGAGGATTTCTAGGTTGAAATTAACTCATAAGACAGAATTAATTATCCAAAGCAGTCAGATGCAGACACAAGTTTTTTTTTTTTTTTTTTTTTTTTTTTTTCAGTACGTTACGAGAAGGTGGAAATGAAATATATCGTACAACCGAAACGTTTGAGGGGAAGAGAAACAGCTAGATGACAAGCGAAAAAAAAAAATTGGCAATTTTTTTTATGGAGATACAGTTATTTAAGAAAAGATTTGCAGGAAAAGAGACAGAATGCTGAGTCGAGAAATATTAACTAACGACATACGGCATAGAATAAAAAAAAATCAGGAGGAGAAAAGGAGCGGGAACAGCAGACAAAAGAGGAAGAGGACGATAAGAAGGAATAGAAGAAGAAAAAAAGAGGAGGATGAGAAGAGGAAGAAAAGGAAGAAGAAGAAGAAGAAGAAGAAGAAGAAGAAGAAGAAGAAGAAGAAGAAGAAGAAGAAGAAGAAGAAGAAGAAGAAGAAGAAGAAGAAGAAGAAGAAGAAGAAGAAGAAGAAGAAGAAGAAGAAGAAGAAGAAGAAGAAGAAGAAGAAGAAGAAGAAGAAGAAGAAGAAGAAGAAGAAGAG